TGCAGTATAGAATCTTCTCAATTTGATGTAAATCCCATTTGTTAATTTTGGCTTTGATTACTTATGCCTCTGGGGTCTTTTCAGGAAGTCTTTACCTATGCCAATGTCTTGCAGAGTTTCCCCTATTTTCTCTAACAATTTGATGGTATCAGGTCATAGATTTAGGTCTTTAATCCATTTTGAGTGGATTATTTGTGTAAGGTGTAAAGTAAGGCTCTTGCTTCATACTTCTGCATGTGGAAGTCCAGTTTTCCCAGCACCATTTGTTAAAGAAACTGTCCTTGCTCCAAGGATTGATTTTAGCTCCTTTGTCAAATATAAGCTGGTTGTAGATGCTTGGATTGATTTCTGGTGCTTCTATTTTATTCCATTGGTCTGTCCATCTGTTTTTATACCAGTACCAGGCTGTATAGAAAACATGATGCTGAAATTCAAATGGAAACACAAGAGACCCCAAATAGCTAAAGCAATCTTATACAATAAAACAAAGCCAGAGGCATCAAAATACCAAATTTTAAGACATACTAAAGAGCAGTTATTATCAAAACAGCCTTGTATTTTTTGTTTGTTTAGCTTCCACATTGAGGGACAATATGCATTATTTGTCTTTCTATGTCTGGCTTATTTCACTCAACATGATATCCTCTAGTCTATCCATTTTACTACAAATGACAGGATTTCACTCCTTCTTATGGCTGGATAGTATTCTGTGGTGCATGTATGCTACATTAGTTTATCCATACATCTAATGATGGATACCTTGGTTGATTGTGTATCTTGGCTATTGTGAATAGTGCTGCTGAAAATATGGTGGAGCAGGTGTCTCCTTGACACAGTGTGTTCCTGTATTTTAGGTGTATACCCGGTAGTAGGGCTGCTGGATCATATGACAGTTGTGTTTCTAGCATTTTCAGGAATCTCTGTGCCATTTTCTATGATGGTTGCACTAATGTACATCCTCCCACAGTGTATAAAAGTCCCCCTTTCTTCACCTCTTTCCCCATATGTGTTGCTTTCTGTCTTTTGGATAGAACCCATTGTGACAAGAGTGAGGTGATACTCACTGTGGTTTTGATTTGCATTCCCCTGGTGGCTAATGACATTGGGAAATTTTTTTCATACATTTGTTTCTTCTTTTGAGAACTTGCTATTAATGTCTTTTGCCCAGTTCTTAACTGGATTTGTTGTGCTTTTGTTGTTGAGTTTTTAGAGTTGCTGGTATAATCTGAATATTTACCTTTGTTAGATAAGTAGCTAGCAAATATTTTCCCCTATTCTGTCAGATGTCTCTTCACTTTATTGATTGCGTTCTTTGCTGTGTGGAAGCTTCTGAGTTTGATGCTATCCCATTTCTCTTGTGTTGCTTTTGTTGCCTATGCTTTTAGAGTCTTGTTCAGTAAGTCATCATCTACACCAATATCTTGATGTGTTTCCCCTACATTTTCTTTGTTTTCATTGTTCCCAGTATTACATACAAATCTTTGATCCATCTTGAATTGATTTTTTAAAATTTATTTGAAAGACAGAGTTACAGAGAGAGAGAGAGACAGAGAGAGAGGTCTTCCATCTGCTGGTTCACTCCCCAGATGGCTGCAACAGCCAGAGCTGCACCAATCTGAAGCCAGGAGCCAGGAGCTTCCTCCAGGTCTCCCATGTGGGTGCAGGGGCCCAAGAACTTGGGCCATTTTCTACTGCTATCCTAGGCCATAGCAGGGAGCTGGATCAGAAGAGGAGCAGCCAGGATTAGAACCGGTACCCATATGGGATGCCGGTACTGCAGGCCAGGGAGTTAACCCACTGTGCCATAGCACCAGCCCCTTGAATTGATTTTTGTTTATGATGAGGGAGTCTTTGTCCCTTTTCAGGAAGCATCCATTTTTCCACTCCCAATCCCAGCTTCCACAGTTCTGCATCTTTCTTTTCCTTCCTCTCTGTGTCCAAATAACTGATGGTGTGTTAGCCATTCTCAAGATCATCTGTTTCCACTTCTGTCCCTGAAGAACTGGTCCTCCGGGATCCTCACAAATCCTGCTTTCTTCCTGGTGAAGAAGTCGTTTTATTATCATACAGTACTTTGGGTTAGAAATTCTGAAGTTTATTTGATACACAATTCACAATTTTGTCTCTATGAAATTTTCTTTTTGTTCCAACTCTGCCTTCTGAAGCTACACAAAGTAAGTCTTCTCCTCTTGCATGTTATATGTTTCCAAATAAGAATACTCAAAATGTTTGGTATTTGAGGCTTATCACTATCCAGCCTTGATCCGTGTTCATATGGTGGGTGTGTTTGGGCCGGGGAGGACCTATGGTTGAATAATTTGAAGCAGTTTGATATAATCTTTTTTTTTTTTTTTTTTTTTTTTTTTTAATTTTTTGACAGGCAGAGTGGACAGTGAGAGAGAGAGACAGAGAGAAAGGTCTTCCTTTGCCGTTGGTTCACCCTCCAATGGCCAGTTTGATATAATCTTATGAACTGCCAATCATGGATAAAGATATATTTATTATCGCGTTGTTCACTTTTTAATTTAATAAAGTTTCATTTTTCCAAATGAACGAGCCACTGGACCTGTTCATGATCTTCCTCAGTAGCTGCCGCATCTCCATCCTTTGTATTCCTGGTATAAATTATTGTACCTTTGTGCTGGAAAACGGCTTTGATAAGTCCTTTACTCAGAAGCTGCTAAAGCCCTGCCCTGGCCAGAGATCCTTGAATCGTCAGTCTTTCAGCTGGTACCAACCTGGGGTTAGAAGCTCTCAGTGGGGAACTTCCTTACAGAGTCATCACAGGTAGCTTTGTCAAATAAAGCTAAGTTATTGAGCGTGTCTTGAACTTTGCCTTTGGGCCACTTCTTTCTGGCCTTGCCTACAAATTGGTTCACAGGATCTTTTTCTTTCTTGGCTGACACTGCAATGTCTGTCTTCGTCCCATCACCCTTGGGTGGCATGGCGACATCTGGAGTATAGCAGTGACCACCGGAGCCTAGCTTGCAGTGTTTACTCTTCATTTAGGCGTGGTTAATACAAGTTGCAATTGTGGACACCATAGAAGAGAGCGTTAGTAATCTCAGATCTATACAGTGACAGGAGTTGTCCATTTGCAGTATGATCATGTGCCCTTATTAATAGCTGTTTATTAATAATAAAGTTAATATATAACGATTGTGTTTATTATTTATTATTCATTAATTAATGTTGCCACCTTTGTCTTTCAAAAGGATGTCAGTTTGGAATATAAATAATATAATCACCCTAGACTTTGGTCTCAGCAGTCAATATGCCTGATTCATTTCCTAGACTCACTCAACCATGAGCAATTGTTAGCAATGTTTCCAGATCCATTCCCCATTCCAACAGCTGCTACAATACCAGTATGATTCTGTAAGGGGACTTAAAGCCTAGACTAGGCACGGGTGTATTATTCAGTGCAGAAAAAGCTGGAAAATCTTGAGACTTTGTGTGAAGATCTATGGTAGGAAGAAAAGACTCAAGATAGTGAAGCATCAGTAGAAGTTGATTAAAATTAGTACATTGCATTGTTAAGTAACCTTTAAAGTTGGTAGGAGTCAATAGTATGAGTGTGAAAAAGGGGAGGGGGGAATGAGAGAAGACTTGGGGCCAAAAAATTTTGTCAAACCTGGGTTTGCTTGACTGAGGAGTATTAGCTGGTTGTAATGACGAGAAAACTCCAAGATTACCCCATGCGAAGAGTCTAATTCATTGAGACAACCATTAGATTTGTACGGAAGCTTTAAGATAATGTATCAGATTCATTATTTATTATTTAAGATTTATTTATTTATTTGAAAGGTGGAGTTACAGAGGCAAAGAGAGAGAGAGAGAGAGGTCTTCCATCTGTTTGTTCACTCCCCAAGTGGCCACAACAGCCAGAACTGATCCAATCCGAAGCCAGGAGCCAGGAGCTTCTTCTGGATCTCCCATGTGGGTTCAGGGGCCTAGGAACTTGGGCCATCTTCCGCTGCTCTCAGGCCATAGCAGAGAGCTGGATCGGAAGAGGAGCAACCAGGACTCAAACCAGCCAACACTGTAGGTGGCAGCTTTATCTGCTATGCCACAGCACCGGCCCAAGATTCTTTATTTTTTAAGATTATTTAATTAATTGATTTAAAAGGCAGAAACAGGGAAAGAGAGTGAGACATCGACTGGTTCACTTCCCAAATGGCTTCAACAACAGGTCTGGAGCCAGGAACTCCACCTGGGTCTCCCACAAGAGGGGCAGGGGCCCAAGCACTTGGGCCATCCTCGGCTGCCTTCCCAGGTGCATTAGCAGGGAACTGGCTCAGAGGGAGTGCAGCCAGGACTCAGGAACCAGTCCTCTGATAGGGGGATGCCAGCATTGCAGGCGGCAGCTTAACGCACTGCACCGCAACACTGGTGCCTTAGATTCTTTTTTGAGAGAAAAAGTTCTGCTAGGTTACAGGAAGGAGAAAGCCTGAAGCCTCTGGGCACTGAGACCAGGGGAGCACAGAAAGCTACTGGCAGCCGGTGCCGCGGCTCACTAGGCTAATCCTCCGCCTGCAGCTCCGGCACACCGGGTTCTAGTCCCGGTGGAGGCGCCGGATTCTGTCCCGGTTGCCCCTCTTCCAGGCCAGCTCTCTGCTGTGGCCAGGGAGTGCAGTGGAGGATGGCCCAAGTGCTTGGGCCCTGCACCCCATGGGAGACCAGGAGAAGCACCAGGCTCCTGGCTTTGGATCAGTGTGATGCGCTGGCCGCAGCGCGCTGGCCGCGGCGGCCATTGGAGGGTAAACCAATGGCAAAAAGGAAGACTTTTCTCTCTCTCTCCTCTCCTCACTGGCCCACTCCTGCCTGTCCGAAAAAAAACCAAATGAATCAAAAAAAAAAAAACAAAAGGCTAACTGGGAGCTTTCCAGGAACATTTCCTCTTTTGTGGCTTCGGGTGTTGGGGGGTTGATTTAAATGAGATAGAATTTCTTGGTCCATTTGATTTCTTTACTCACTGGGGTTCTCTTTCTTGTTTTTAGGAGCTGGTGGGGAGTAACCCTCCACAAAGAAACTGGAAAGGAATCGCAATCGCACTGCTGGTGATTCTGGTCATCTGCTCCCTGATTGTCACATCGGTCATCCTGCTGACCCCAGGTACTTTTATTTATTCTTGGAAAAGCAAGTCACGGCGAGGGATGAGGAGCATACTTTTACCTTGGAGTGTTTTATTTTTTTATTTTTGCTAAATAGCTATTACATAATTCATTCTTCTCAGGTTCTAATTTTCATTTTACCATATTATGATATAATATGGTTTCAATGAAGAAAGACCATTTTAAGTGCTTTGTTTATGTAGTTGTAGAGTAGGTGGAAATGCTTGAGATATAGTAAAAATTAATTGATTATTCATGTTTGATGAAGTTAAAAACAGTAGCAATGGGTATCTAATATAATAACTTTATGTATCATATGGAATTCCTGAGTATTACATCAAAAATGAGTGAAGATGATTGTTACTACAACATATGTTGTGTGGGAACTAGTGTATGTTACTTATTAGATATAAAGCAGAGTCAGACATCTTTCAGGGAAAAAAAAAACACACTGAAATCTGCAGCAAAATCCTGTAGCAAATACATACATATGTATGCTTTATTGGGTGGCTGAAACAGAAGCGCTACAGGAGTTTAAAGGAGAGAGCTCCTTTATGAGAAAATTCATGGAAAAGGTAATATGTGACATAGGCTTAAGGGAGTGATATGAGTTTATTGGCAGAGCATGGCGGATTAGCGAGAGAAGAAATCCTTTGCCTGTTAGATAACCTTATGGAAGTTATCATAGAGATGGCCATAGATAAGACAGTAGGTAACTTTTATCTAGTCCCTTTATTATATTATGTAACTATATGTATAAGCAAAACTAAAACAAAAGTTCACCCATGTTCCAATTCTCAGTAAATAGACCATACAGAGATATTAGACCTTAAGATGGAAAAAAAGGAGTGGACTTGTGGTACAACAGAGAAGCTGCGGCCCATGTTAGAAAGTCTGGGTTTGAGTCCTGCCCCTTTCTCTACTTATTCCAGCTTTCTGCTAATGTACTACCTGGAGGCGGCAGAAGAAAATGCTTGATTCCTTGAACCCCATGTGGGAGACTTAGATTGAGTCCTAGGCTACTGGCTTCAGCCTCAAGCAGCCCTGGCTATTGCAGACATTTGGGAAGAGAACCTATGGATTTGAAAGATCTCTGTCTCTCTCTCTAAGACTTCTGAATAAATTACAAAAATAAAAATGATGTGGGGCCAGCCTTATGATGTAATGTGACACTAGCATCCCCTATGGGCACCAATTCAAGTCCTAAGTCCTGGCTGCTCCACTTCTGATCCAGCTTCCTGCCAATGTGCCTGGGAATGCAGCTGAAGATGGTCCAAATACTTGGGCCCCTGCACCCACATGAGAGGCCCCAATGAAACCTCTGGTTCCTGGCTTCAGCCTGGTCCAACCCTAGCTGTTGTGGTCATTTGGGGAGTAGACCAGTAGATGAAAGATTTCTCTCTCTTTCTGTCTCTCCTTCTCTCTTTGTAACTCTGCTTTTTAAATGAATAAATAATTTTTTTAAATGAACAAATAAAAATATTTAAAAGATGAAAAAATAAGATATAACTGTATATAAGGTTTTTTTGGTTTTGTTTGTTTTATTTTTTTGTTTGTTTTGTTTTTGTTTTTGACAGGCAGAGTGGACAGTGAGAGAGAGAGAGACAGAGAGAAAGGTCTTCCTTTGCTGTTGGGTTCACCCTCCAATGGCCGCCGCGGCCGGCGCACTGTGCTGATCCAAAGCCAGGAGCCAGGTGCTTCTCCTGGTCTCCCATGGGGTGCATGGCCCAAGCACTTGGGCCATCCTCCACTGCACTCCCTGGCCACAGCAGAGAGCTGGCCTGGAAGAGGAGCAACCGGGACAGAATCCGGCGCCCCGACCGGGACTAGAACCCAGTGTGCCGGCGCCCCAAGGCGGAGGATTAGCCTAGTGAGCTGTGGCGCCGGCCTATGTGTATAAAGTTTTGATAGATACCAACAAAAATGCAGGCAAATCATGATGCATAATTAAACTATTACCCTGAAACTCAAGGGGAAAATGCTAATATACTCCCTGATACCAAACTAGATAAAGATACCACCAGAGGCCGGCGCCGCAGCTCACTTGGCTAATCCTCTGCCTTCGGTGCCCGCACCCTGGGTTCTAGTCCTGGTCGGGGCACCGGATTCTGTCCCTCTTCCAGGCCAGCTCTCTGCTGTGGCCCGGGAGTGCAGTGGAGGATGGCCCAAGTGCTTGGGCCCTGCACTCGCATGGGAGACCAGGAGAAGCACCTGGCTCCTGCCTTCGGATAGGCGTGGTGCGCCAGCCGCGGCGGCCATTGGAGGGTGAACCAATGGCAAAGGAAGACCTTTCTCTCTCTCTCTCTGTCTCTCACTGTCTAACTCTACCTGTAAAACAAAAACAAAAACAAAAACAAAAAAAAAAAAAGAGAGAGAGAGACTGGCTGGCGCCGTGGCTCACTAGGCTAATCCTCTGCCTTGCGGCGCCGGCACACCGGGTTCTAGTCCCGGTCGGGGCGCCGGATTCTGTCCCGGTTGCCCCTCTTCCAGGCCAGCTCTCTGCTGTGGCCAGGGAGTGCAGTGGAGGATGGCCCAAGTCCTTGGGCCCTGCACCCCATGGGAGACCAGGAGAAGTACCTGGCTAAAAAAAAAAAAAAAAAAAAGAGAGAGAGAGAGACCACAAGAAAACTATAGAATGATATCCCTTCTGGAAGACTTATATAAAAATCCTCAACGAAATAGTAGCAAACTGAATTCAGCAACATATGAAAACAACTATATGGTATGATTGAATGGGATTTACCACAGGCAAGAAAATTTGGCTTCATATATGAAGATCAGTCAATGAAACAGCTATTTTAATAAAGTAAAGAGCAAAAAAAGGTCATCTTGATCAGCAGAATGAGAACTTGACAAAATTAAGAAACCCTTTCATGATAAAATATCCAAAAGTAGGAAAGAATTATCCTCAACCTGGTAAGTAGCATGTGTGATAAATGCCACAGCTGCCTGAAATCATCCCCTTAACATCAGGACCAGGACTGGGATGTTCACTCTTAGGATTTCTAGTTCACATTATACTGCAGGTTCTAGCTAGGGCAATTTGATATCAACAAATGCCATTAAAATAGCGAGAAAAAAAGTAAAAGTATTTCTCTTCATAGAGGACATAAACCTGTATGTAGAAAATCTTAAATAATCCATATAAACATAAAACCTATCATAAGTAATAATTGAGTTCAACAGCATGGAGGATCTAAGACCACTATGCAAAAAGTATTTGTATTACTGTACCCTAGCAATGAAAAATCCAAAAATGAAATTAATAGTTCTACTTCCATTAGTTTCTAAAAAGAATTAGAAACTTAGGAATCAATTTAACAATAGAAATACAAAATCCGTGGGCTGAAAACCACAAAGCAAAATGAAAAAAATTAAAGAAGACCAAGTGGATTGTTGGAAGATGTAATATTGTTAACATGGCAGCACTCCTCAAATGGATCTATTGATTCAATCTAATTCCTGTCAAAATTCCAATTGTCTTTGTTGAAGAAATTTTTAACTGATCCTGAAGGCCATTTGAAAGTGCAAGGGAATCGAAATAACTAAAACAATCTTGAAAAAGAATAATTAGAAACTTACATATCTTGATTTTAAAACTTAATTACTATAAGTCTACCATAATTAGAACAAAGTGGTTCTAGCATAAATGGTAACACATATGTCTGTATGGCTCAATGAAACAGAAGTGAGCATTCAGAAATGAGCCTATACATTTTAGTCAGCTGGTTTGTGACAAGGGTGCTTAGACCATTGGATGGGAGAAAGAACAGTCTTTTCAACAAATTATGCTAGCACAGCTGGATACCCACATGCAAAATACTGAAACTGGACCCTCTACCTCACACTAGGTATGAAAACCAGCTCAATGTAGACTGACGGCCACACGTAAAAGCTAAACCTGTGAGAGTATTGGAAGGAGACACAAAATAAAATCTTTGAGACTTTGAATTAGGCAGTAGTTTCTGAAATATGACATCAAAAATACAAGCAACAAAAGGAAAAATAGGTAAATTGCACTTTGTTAAACTTGTTCCTTTTTTTATTAAGTTCATTTAGACTTTAAACCATTTCCTCTCAGCAGTTTATGCTCAGGAATAATTTTATGCAGATTGCAATGCAAATAATTATACTTTGCATTTTTTCATACTCTATTGGTTACCACAGATCTGGGAAAACATATGGTATCTGTCTTTTGGGGATTGGCTTATTTCACTAAATATAAAGAAAATGAAATTATAACCAATAGAATGGGAGAAAGTATTTGCAAACTGTATTTCCAATAAAGGTCTAGCATCTAGTATATATAAAAACACTTACAATCTGAAACAAATGACAAATAATCTTAAAATGTGCTAAATATTTGAGTAGACATTTCTCCAAAGAAGGACAAATGGTCAATAAGCACAAGAAAATATATGTAATATCATTAATTCTCGGGAAAATGAAAACCCAAACTACAATTAATTACCACTTCATGTCTACCAGTATGGTGTTAAATCAAAAAACAAATAAAAAAGGGAAAGTCAAATGTTTCTGTGAGGATATGTAGAAATTGGAACCTCTGGGGCCAGAGCTTTGGCATTGCGGGTAAAGCTGCTACAAGCAATGCCAGCATTCCATACGGCTGCTGGTTCAAGTCCCTGCTACTCCTCTTCTGATCCAGCTCTCTGCTATGGCCAGGGAAAGCAATAGAAGATGGTGCAAGTCCTTGGACCCCTGCACCTGCATGGGAGACCTGGAAGAAGCTCCTGGATCCTGGCTTTGGATTGGCCCAGCTCTGGCCATTGCAGCCATTTGGGAAGTAAACCAGTGGATGGAAAATTTTTCTCTCTCTGCCTCTGCCCCTCTGTAACCCTGCTTTCAAATAAATAAATAAATCTTTTAAAAATAAAGAAATTGGAAATTTCATTCATTACTATCAGAAATATAAATTATGTATGGCGGGTGCCACGGCTCACTTGGCTAATCCTCCGCCTGCAGCGCCGGCATCCCGGTTTC